ACGGAGTTTTTGTTCACATTAACAATACTAATGAGTAGCGTGACTTGCTGGAGCGTAGACGCATACCGAATAAGGGGGCAACGAGGCTTAAGGATATGCGTGGCTTAGGGCATTTTTCGGTTCGCGTGTGCTCTCGTCTATAACTTAGACGCCTCCCGGTTGACAGTTCAACACGCTACACTAACGAAGCCGCAAAGTAATTGTCACCGAAGAGACGATTGCCGCACTCGGAGAGTCTTGGGAGACTGGCCATCTATGATCGAGTTCATAAGCGTGTAGTCTAGTAAGCGTGTAATATGATAATCGAACTCGGAAAGAAGAAACTAGAACAACCGCGGAAACTAGGGCCTTTGTCTACAGGAGCCATATAAGTTCGGTTAGGAAAGATTACATATATCTATTTTAGTGATGGCATATTTGCGACCCATAGCTCACAAATGGTTTAATCGTTTAATGCCATGTTTTTAGACTTAGCCCTTAACAGTAACGCTCAATACTAATAGGTATGAAGATTGGATATGCGTTTAGGCCTACTGACTCTGCAGGCTTGAGCGAGGATTTCCCGGGTACGTTATTCTCCCCTACTCATCATACTCATGTTCTGTCTCATTTGTCGTGGATGGTGGCGCCAAGTGTAACAATGCGAACCATCGGCAATGTAAATCACATACGTAATATGATACTATTTCGATGTATTACTACCTTATAACGTTATTGCATTTACCTGACCATCACACATTCCCGTGCCAATGTAACATTTAATTATCCATATATTTATATGTTGTAACTCACTAAACTATAGTAAACTGTCATCGATGCCTTATTTTGAACACAACAGTTACTCGAAATGTACCATAAAACTATACGATCCATAAAACTACACTTGAAATTGTGATAATTTCACCGAAATCGCTATGGTGGCCCCAATCAATTACACTAAACAATAATACATCTACTCGACCATATAAACATCCTCTGTATTTTGCCTAGTTACTCAATCCCAATTGATACCATAAATACATAGAGATACAGCAGGACTATATGTTTGAAAGCTGTCAATACTTATGCCTACATCGTAAGGAATAAATATTTTGAACGTATAATAGTCTTAATTCAATGTGAATGTAATTCCACCCCATTATTCTAGAATGAAAATATATTGGAATTGGAATGACTACAAAACAATTAGTAACCTACTTTAAGCAAGAACTCATGCTTAATTGTGTCATTAACATTGTGTCACAACCAAAATCTGTCGCTCCATTACGTGCCATGCGTCTTAGGCTTTTAACCAGATATATATTAGCCTACATACAACACTGGTAATAATAGCAAAGTACTGTACCTTACTGCAAGTTACTGGGTACTGCGAATATACAAGTTTGAAATGCCAAGTTGGCACAACCCAGTCTTTCTCACCTCGTCGGAATCGTTAAACACTGGCATCGCACGAACGTCATGAATTCATTTGAGAGAATGATGATGATGAAGCTTAAACAGCAAGTCCCATTCTCCATGCGTCCCTAACTGTAGGTACTAGTTGTTCATCAGTCGCTCCCCCTTGTCCCCGGTGTCAGACGGCGGCAACCGAACCCGGCTTTATTGTTAATGTACACTCTCTATATATGTGTTTCATGAATACTTACGTAAACCATCCTGCCAATCTATTTGGAAGCGATTGGACGCATGAAAACTATGTAAACTCTTGCCGAAAAATATTGTTTGCTTCGACACTTTCATGTGACGGACAAAGCATGGCCAACGCTATTATTTTTACTAACCGAGAACTACAAGTTTTCAGTCTTACTTCGACCACTCACCCTCCGTATGGAATGCATAGAAAGCGGTTTATGCGCTTCTCATTACTGACGTTCCGCAGCCAATATCCTGCCGAACGCTCCTCGCCCACCTTTGGCGCCATTCAAATAACTCCCTGCCTCTCCATTTTATGTAAAATTTCCATGGTTATGTAAACTCGGTTGTTATCGTCAATTCAGGATTTAGTTCTGCGCCGCTACAAACCTTTGGCAATTATTCCTACGGCAGAGAAAAACTCATATAGGATTCGAATTGGATTTTTTGTCTGGCGCGTTAGTTTTTGTATAAAAGGATCTTCAGGAATGCCTTTCGTTTTAAAAACCTACACGCCCGGAATTTATTCTCGTACTAATCGCTACCCAAGATGGGGCGACGAGTCTCCTCGAGGCGATGTCGACGAAATTTTCCACATAAACAACAGCGCAATTAGGCTTAGACTGCGCCCGTGGAGAGTTTAACGCTCGAGTACTATAACTTTAGTGTAGCGAGAGATACTTTGAAGAACGCCGCACAGTCAATGACACGCCCAGGCTGAATCGTGACTCGTTTTATTATCGTAGCCATCTCCATTCTCTTATAACCTGTTGACCCGCGCTCGACTCCTCTCAACTCTAGCCGTTCGCTTTTTGCATATAACCAGCCACTCCAGAAGATCAAGCCTCCAGCCGTACAGCACACACTGACATCAGTCGTTCCCACGAACTCGAGGAAACTACCGGCACTAGAGACGTGATCAAGATGGCCCCTATTGCGCACCAAAGATGCCGTTGTACCCGACCCCACTACCTACTACTACTTATATACAGTAGATACAGCTACTACAAGTTACCAGCACTACTAGTACTAGTACTACTAGAACTCCACGACGCAGCAGCTAATAGTAAAGTAATAATTCACTAACTCTGTTACTAAGTATTAACTAACTTACTATAATGCGACCTACTCTAACTATAGCCGCTTACATTAAACGCCGCTGGCGGTTATCTGGCGGTCGAACTCGTCGTCTGCCACGGCAGTTAATGTAAGCCGGCTACAGCTACTACAGCTATGCACGAAACCACTAACCAAACTAACCTATATATTGATATAATATTATAATGAGATTGATATATAGATTATATTAATTTAGATTATTATATAAATGACATGTTTATTGGCCAGCCATACATTGGGCCCAAAATATTGAGCATGCTTCTCGATCTTGAACCACTAGTACACTAGACTACTATACGACTAGCAAGAACACGCTCTTTGCTAGTTAGTAATACCCCTAGGCTATAAACACCACAGGCCACTTGAAGCGTTTCAATAAAATATAATGCTAACTAATACGAAATCTATTACTACGAAATGTTCATCTAGATAGGCCTATCTCTTTCAAGAAGGCCTTGCGACGTGCAAAGGCGCTTATATAAGACTAGCTCGCTCCCACCCGATTAGCCATTGACTGACTAAGCTAAGCCAGAGCGAAGAGTGCCAGTATGGGCCTATAGCCGGGCAGCGCGTCGCACGCTTTCCAAACTCCCCTACGAGCCCGCCATTTAACGTGCAAAAACGTTGCAGGTTGAACGGGCGCCGAAAGAGCGCGGTAGCTGTTCGTAATGTGACAGCTTTGCATTTACGTGGCAAGTTCGCGCGAATGTCCAGAAATTTCGACAGTCTTTCTCTGATTGCCGCACACAGCCGTTTAAACGAACAATTTACTCGCCGTTACA